ATCCTGCCATTACAAATCACCTCAGAAACAGTCTTGCAGAAGCTGCACACCTCAAAACAACGTCTGAAGTTACCAAAGAGGTCTGGAGACAATTACAAAGGTGTCAGCGAAGCCTTGAGGCTTTCTTCATTCGCAGCTCTCACCACAGACCAGCCAGAGGCTGCACCCAAAGAGGCCAGGGCTCCAAAACTGGCACTGAAGGGAGGTTTGCCTCACCTCACCTCCAATACAGCGGCAAGAGTCAAGCTGCAGAACCCACAGCCTGCGTCACAGGGTATCAGCCTGAGCTACATCCCCACTTCAATTCCATCCAGAGGCATCACAGCTGATCTGTCTGCTGGGCCCAGGCTGAGCCAGCATCCCCTGCTCCCCTCCCTGCCTGGTGAGCTGGTTGTCTCTCAGCTCCAGGCCAGGATTCCTGCAGCACCAGGCCAGGATTCCTGCAGCACCAGGCCAGGATTCCTGCAGCACCAGCGGACAGGAGGAGCTGTCCCTGTCCCTGTCTTCCACCAGTCACATGGAAAAAGTCTTGGTGTGGAGAGAGGACGGCAAAAAGGAGCTGTGAGGATGAGTCACTGCTTCCTCTCACTAGCAGAGAGCACAGAAGGAGGAAGGAGAGCTCCCATTGGGAGCGTATGCAGTGGAAGTGCCAGCTCTCCAGCCCATCTTGCCACAGGGCCATGGGTGGTTTCTGCCTGGGGGAGGGAAGGGGGCAGCCCCCCGCTTACCTGAACCAGACAGTAGCCCAGCAATCGCAAGTGCCTGTCCCTCATGGCTCGTGAGCCCACCAGGATGTCAGAGTTCTGGCAGTAATGCCACTTGTCATTGACCGACAGCACCACCCTGCGGAGGACAGAGCGGGAGGAGGAGAGTGTTACCCATGCCACAGACCCTGCAGGCAGGACAGGCAGCAGTGCCACCCAGTCCCCACAACAGCAGGGGATGAGGGGCAGCTCGGTACCTCTGAATATCCTCAGCTCCCTGCAGGCCATCGCCTGGCCCTCGCTTGGGGCTGGGCCGGCACGGAGAGGGTGGAGGGCAGGCATCCTCACTTGAGGGGGGACTCCTTTCCTCCGTCTCATCTTGCGCTTGCTCCCCCTGGAAGCAGTTGTGATCATGGCCAGTGCAGCTGGCAGTAGCCTCCTCCTCCTCCTCCAGGATCTTGCTGATAGGGAACTGGAAAAAACACCTGGGGGAGCAGTCAGGGGTGCCAGCTGGCTGTGCGGAGAGGCACTCGGAAGGGCTGCTTAACGTGGAGCTGCCCTGGCTCTCCAGGGAAGACTCTTTGCTCAGGCTGCAGTAATAGTCCGAGGGGGGCTGGTAGCAGGGCCCCCCCGGGGCAGGGCAAAGTGTGGGGAGGAACCTCCCAGCAAGGTTGTTCTCCCGGGAGCCCGGGGGGCTGCTTGGCGTCTCTGGAGCAAATGGGGCAAAGTCCTGCAAGTCCGAGGTGAGGGCCAGGACGCTCGAGCGCAAGGAAATGGCAGCAGGGGACGTTGTAGTGTGGACAGAGGGAGCCTTGGAAGCTGCAGGAACACGGGAAAGAGGCAGCACAGTGCCCGAGCGGTTGATCCACAGCAGGAAGTCTGCAGGAAGAGAACAGGGATAAGCACCAGCCTTGAGACCCCCTCTACTGATGTGACATGGGCTCAGGGACCCTGCGTGTCCGAAGTGAGAGACTGCACCAGCCAGCCCAGCAGACAGGAACACAGAGAGAACCTGAACACCAGGTGAGCCCTCCTGTGGTGGAACAGCTCAGGGAGCTTTGTTTTCTAGTTCTGCTCTGAATAAGCTCCCACCCTCGGGCCTCCCTCAAGCACTCAGGCAGACGCAGGGCTTCTACTGTGCCCACAGACCCACATATCCCACTGCCAGCACCCCCTATGAGCCATGGCCCTGCCCTAGTGCAGCCAAGCTACCTGTGCAGTATCCTGGGGGCAGCACCTCATCCTGCCGATAGCACTCTTCTCCCACCAGCTGCCGCAACGCCTCGGCCACCAGCCCCTTGTAACTGAGGGGAAAAAGAATAGTCAGAAAATGAACTGGGGGGAGCACCCAGCCTGTCCCCTCAGGCACTGCCAACCCTTGTTCTCCGTCTGAGCACATCTGTGCAGACATGAAGGCCCCTGGGAGCAGGAAATAAGGAGAGGGTTTGGGCTCTGCTGTTCTGGCGCAGGGAGGGGACATAATTCCACTCATTTGGGCAGAAAGCTCCTGTCGATACTGTTACACCAACAGCAACATATTCTTCTTCTCCAAAAGTGTTGTCAAGGGCTGGAACAAGCTGCCTAGGGATGTGGTAGAGTCACCACCCCTGCGGGCATTTAAAAGACGTGTAGATGTGGTGCTTTAGGGACATAGCTCAGTGGTGGCACTGGCAGTGTTAGGTTTGCACCCCGCGCTCCCAGCTGTGCTCTCCCCCCAGGGCAGCCCTGCTCTCCTTCCCCAAAGCTGACCTGTACTTTCTGTTGGCCTCATCGGCTGTGAGGGCGTGCTCGAACATGAGGACGCGGTAGCGCGGGTCGAGGCGCGGGCCGCTGTAGTCGCGGAACTCCAGCTCCACCGCTGCGTCCAGCAGTGAGAGGTAGCGGCGCACGATCAGTGCGTAGGGGCTGCCTGCGGGGCCAGGACGTGGTAAACCCTGCCGGGCGGCTCCGCCTGCCCCAGCCACGCTCCTGTTCTCTCCAATGCTTCCCAAACCCGCCTCCACCCCAGCCCCGAGCTGTAATGCCTGGAAATGGCCCAACATACTCATAACGTTGGTGATGAAGGCTGGGGAGAAGACTTGGTGCAGGACGGTCTGTGGGAAATGGCTGAGCTGAAACATGGACATAAGGATGTTGACGGTCGCCAGGGGTGAGCTGCCGGCCTTCTGCTCCAGGATGGCCTCCAGCTTGGGGAAGAGCTCCCTGTGGTTGGATGGGCGGTAATTCATGCGGCTGAAGGGAAACACCAGCTTCTGGATCACCTGCAGGCAGGAGGAGAATGAGTGTGGCCAGGCCAGGCAGTGGGACAAAAGACAGGTCATACCTGCCCAGAGTTGGGCAGGAACAGGCTCTCACAGACTGTAAGAACCAGAGCACATCCTGGTTGGTGCCAGCAAGATGAACCAGCCCAAAGGCATAGAAGTGATGTGGTTCCCCGAGCACCAGGGCAGCTCTGGAGCCAGCCCCAGGCATCCCCCGCATGCCTGGGGTGAACACTCACCTTGCTGTCGAGCTGCTCCCCACGCTTCAGGAGGAAGTTTGCAATGGTATCAAGCAGCCGTGGCTCACGCAGCCGGTGCCGGGCCACGTACTTGGCGATGAGGGCCATGGTGTAGGGGGTGAGGTTCTCTGCCTTCCTGGGGAGCCACTCTGTATACAGCAAACCACAGCAGGGTATCTGTCAGAGAGGCCTGGCTCCGTCCCAGCTGCAGCTCTCCAGGAGCCACTACAGGCTGGGCAGTGCAGGCAGGTGGGACATAACAAGACCCAGAGCAAAGCTATCTCTCCTGAAACCCAGCAAACACCATTATGCGCCTTGTGAGAGGTTCAGGGAGATTCCGGTCATGTGCACCCCAGGAAGCACAGACAGAACGTGCATAGAATGGGGTCCCTTCTGTAGAAACCCCACCGAAAACAGCCTGCTCCCAGTCTCGCAGCAAGGCAGGCTCCCAACCCTGGCAGAACTAGGCTGGGAAGTCAGTGACAGGGCGACCTTAGCACAGAGCACCTCCTGCTCCATTCTCACCAAGGTGTTGAGCTCCTGGCACTCAGCAACACCCCAGCTGGTGCTGTCATAAACCCAGATGCCCTCTGGGGCGAGGACAGCAGACTCCAAGGCTGCCAAGTGCATGGACAGAGCCTGGAGCCCCCTGCACCAGGGAAGAGTGGGCATGAACCCTGCCTGGGCAGACCCTGCCCTCACCTGCCATGCTGCGGATGAAACGCTCTTGGCGGTTCTCGTAGAAGAGCTGAGAGCTGAAGATGGCCTCCAGGGCCTTGTTGTTCGCCTCCTGGGCGCACAGGGCCAGCATCTCATCCAAGAGGGCCAGCTCGTGCTCCCGCATGGCACTCACTTGCCCCAGCGTGTGCCTGACAAGGCGCAGGATCTTGCGGTTGTTGATCAGCTGCTGGTCGGAGGCCGGGTGTCCCTGCAGCGCCTGCGCCCGTAGCCGGTAGTAGGAAAGGAGCAGGAAGAGAGTCTGGGGGTGCCGCTCCTTCTCCAGGTGCCTCTCCAAGCTGCTGAGGCAAGACTCGACCAGGGGGTGGGGGCTGGACGGGTGCAGCCTCATCACACTGCTGAACACCATGGAGACATCCTTCTGGTTGAAGCGGCCCAGGCGGCTCCGGGATTCATCCTCCAGCACTCTCACCAGCGGTGATTCCCCAGGCAGGCCTGTGACAGGGAAGGGATGAGGGATGTCCAGACCCATCTCCCATCTTCGCTAGGCACAACCATCCTCATGGGCTCGGACTACAGCCAGAGGAGGGCAGGTTTGCCATGTCAATGATCAAACCAAAGGTGAGAAAAGGAAAGGGACTGGTGTGGCAAAGCCTGATCAGGGCATCTGCACCATGGAAAAAAGTCATGTGGAACTCTGGGTTATTCCCCCCAACTCCATCAAAATGGAAGTCCTTTGGTTCATCTGCAAAAGTGAGGTTTATTTCTTAACTCTCCAACTTCTTAAGGATAAATAAGACACCTCTAAAAGTAATTTAAAAAAAAGTTATGGTTGGAAAACAAACAAGAAATCAGCACATCACTGAAATAAACACTGTCTCTGTGTGATGGGAACTAATCCTTTCACATCTCCAGCCTTCTCCCTTTTCCTACTGTAGCTTCAGTCTTTCAAACCCGACTCCTGGGGAAAACACTCTCTCCCAGCTCTGAGTGTATTATTCGAGCAGGGAAAGGCAAGAGGCCAGGCGCAGAGGAAAAAGGCAAAGGCCATCCTCTGTGTGTCAGGAGAGATATGTCCAGGAGACACATGAAGCATTAGGCACTGTATGAGGCCCTGGTAGCCCACTGCTCTCCTGAGCCAACTGACGAAATTTCAGTTTTCAAAAGGGCTTTAAAGCAACTGAGGCAGCATGGGGTAAGTTGCTGCATTTTATCATTAATCAAAAATCAGCCAGAAGGTGGAAAGCGAAGAATTGGTCTGAGCAGTTGCTTTGTTCCTTAAAGAAGAGGCGGGTGAGTGTTTTTATTAATGAGCGGGTGAGCGTGGTGAGCAGGGGAGGGAGGCTGACAGAGAACAAAGTGTGGGTCAAATCCAGAGCAGGCCAGGGGGAGCCCAGCTGAGGGAAGAGGCGCCTGGCAGCCCATTGCTCAGCGTCAACAAACACGAGGCGCCGAGAGACAGACCAGGGAAGAGCAGGAACTTCTTCCCTCCCCCCTCCGGCAGGATCTAGAGTTACTGCATCAACCCACAGCCAGCACCGGGCGGCTCAGCCAAGGCCTCAGCCCAGCGTGCAGCGGCAGTGGGGGGAAAGATAAAAGCAAACAGAATGGCAGGAGACATGTGCATGGGGCTGGCAGCAACCTGGGGTAGGGAGGGCATGCACCATGGGGTACCACCAGGCACCCTGGTACTGCCAGGTGCAGGCAGGGGGATTCACAGAGCCCAGTGGCAGAGCTCCATAACGCCCAGGGGCTGCTGCTGAGTAGGAACCCAAACCGGCTTGAACTTTCTCTCCTGAATATTAAATGCCCACCAACACAGGGCACAGGGCTTGCAAAGGGTTTAGCCAAGATCTCACATCTCACACTTTGATGCTTGGATGTTTCCCTGATTCTCAGGGCTGGAACAAAACTCAAGGAGTGGTTTATCCCACATCCTGCCAGGCAGTGTTGGCCACCACTTTGGCTGCCCTTCGGGCTGATTGCTGCAGCCAGCTGAGCTCCTCCCTGAGCAGCCAGTCCATCCTCCCAACCCCAAGCAGAGCCTCCTCCTCCTTCAAAGGGCACAGCTCCATCTGCCACAGAGCTACTGTCACATGTCCGTCCACACACAAACCCAGACACCAGTGCCTGTCTCAGTATGTCCTGCCTCCTTCCATGGCAGCTGGACAAGCCAGCTTTCCTTTCACCTCACAGACCACACGCTGGCCCGTGTCCCACTGCCCTCCACCTTCCCATTTGCTGTGGGTGACCCCACACAGGCCAACGCTGGCCGTGCAGACACTCACCCAGTGCAGCAGCAGCATACAGGCAGTTGACAATGCTGAAGTTGTCGAACTTGGAGCAGCCGCTGATGATGGCCTGACAGAGAGTCTGGAACTCCGGCTGCTCCAGCACCTGGCCAGGCCCACGGCTCCCCCCATTCACTGCAGCCTGGCCCTGCTGCTGCTGCAAGAGCTGACCCAGCTTGTGCAGGGCAATGGGGTAGTGGCTGGCAGACACCTTGCTGGGGTTCTGCGTGACCCACCGCAGCACTTCCCCCACACTGCGGGAGCGCTCGATCAGACGTTTCATTGTGAAGAAGGTGTCATAACTCATCTTCTCGTGGATGAAGTTCCAGCTCTTCCTCTTGCCATGGCCTCGAGTCCTGTAGGTGTCTGGGGGGAAGGTGTGCAGCAGCCCATGGCTGTAGGGGTCCAAGGGGAGCAGCACGGCCCGCTGCTTCGCTCTGCCGGCACAGTAGCAGGTGGGATACATCCCGGCCCCGCTCCGGTCACCAGCAGCCAGGCCCTGCAGGACTCCAGGCCACACGCTCTCCCGGGTCAG